TGCAACCATTCTGCTACTTGACTGAGTTTTCTTGATTTATTCACATTCATACAAAATGTTGTTGATTTTGAGTGAGACCAATTACTGTCGTTATGCAGCCTCTCTGAAGCAACACAAATTCAGGAAACTTGATGATAAAATGTATGTATGGATGACATTACATGTACATAGTCTGTCTTTGACTTTACTATGTTTTCTGTCAATATTAATGATTAAAGACAAAGAAAGAGATTTTATTTCTTGATCTTACCCCTTCTCTACGAGTGTGATTTATCCCCGCAGTAGGCATGTGTGACACACCCCAAGCAAATCTACCTCTCTATTTATTTGCCTGTAGAGTTCATCAATTAATTAGTTGACTTACCAAATTGTATATTAAACAAATACTTGGAAATATCATGAAACCGGGGTACTGCTGTTTACTGCAGATGAGCACTGATACTATGTGACACCTCTACTTCCTGCCGAGTCGGAGAAGGAAGTGAGGCTCAAAATCGTGAGAAGTGTTCTGTGGTTTACGCACCTCACTGGCACTGAAGCTTTGTAGGCGTGTTGCGGTTTTATTGCAACAAATGGAAATACAGTTATACTCAGCGCTGGCGACTCTGCTCCTAAAATGCTTCCTGGATTAGCCAAGCAGCTACCAATCCAAAACAGGGAGCACCATGCATAACCCCCCCATACAGGAATGAGCCCAAAGTAAGACTTTGAATACCATTACAACTATTTGCTTTGCAAGATGAACTCTGAGCTAAAAAAGGGTGGAGGCTGGTGTGGAGGGGGCAAAGCTTTGCCAGCAGCACAGTCTGTAACAGCATTGGTGTAGCAAGGATGAGGAGGGTGTCATATTTAAATGACTGTGTCCTGCATGAACTAATGCAATGCTTCATTTTACAGCTACAATGTCTGTTTCTTTACCTTTTTTTCCTACAAGTTAATCGCCAAAGTGACACAATAGTTATTTATACATCATTGAAATAAAATACATCTTAACATAAACAGATGACCACATACCACCTAACAAAAAGGTTATTCTCGTAGGTATTCTAAACCTACTAGAATAAAGTCAGTAACTGTTTAAATTCCATATTTTAGATGAGACTGAAAAGTGCCCAGAAAAATGTAAAGCTGAAATTGTTTCTATAAGTTTATTATGGAAATGGTATATTGCCTATAATCGATGGGGGATCAGTTATGCTAGGCAAGGTCCAAGAAACCTCTGACCTAGGTATCGAACGTCCCTCCAAAATCTACATGCAGACTGTCTCAGTCTGCTTAGGGAGGAAGAAAACATATAGCTGAGCTTATTTCAGGCCTTTCATGTCGGCCTCTCTGGGAACTTCGCTTGGTTATGAAGGACAGCTTCACAGCCCTGGTCCTATTACCCCAAATTTGGATGCCAATCTGACCCTTATTGTACATTATAAACACACAGCTATGTTTAACCCCTGATATCACATACAGCACCAATAAACCAGCAGGGCATAAAACAATTTGAGCTAACCACAAGAGTAAATCCCAACAAAATGAACAATAGCATTTTCACCGCAGCAAGAAGGTTTGCTATTCAATTGTATGGCTACTTAATTACTATCCCAGGGGAGACCAAGCAGACAACGTCAGAAATGAGCAAGACTGGACTTTGGTGGAATGTATGAAATAAAATCAAGTTTTATTGGGTTTTTACAATAACAACATAATCATAACTTACAAAAATTATATGATACAAAAGTAAGTAAAAACACCCTCTATCTAAAGGATCTTAAAAGAAAAAAATGATAAAAAGTGAAAATCTTTTCCAAAACCCTCAAAAAAGAACCCAAAAATAAAAGCCTTTTTTTACTTGGAGCATCTGAAGACTCTGTTGAACTGTCATAAGGTTAGCAGTGGTGCACAGAGCAATATATTTTTGTTGTCGCAAGAGGCTTTGAACTTATCTTGATATCTAGTTAATATTTACAGTCAATTATGGACATATCGGTCATTTGACATCCACTGTTATAAGCTAATCAGTCATTGCATGCTCAACACTTCAACTCCATTGCCAAACTTATCAATTAATTATAATCACACATCACAGACAATGCCCAGGGTCAAGTCGGCCATAAGTTATATAACGCCGATGTGACATAGCACCAGGAAATGAGATAAAGAACATGATGAGTGGTTGGTGAAAGCAGCCCTGCTGCTGCAAGAGCTTTAGCCCTGCACTGACTCTAATATCTCTCGTATGTGTTTGGTACAGGCACAAGCCAACCATCCACATACCTACATTTACACCTGATGTCCTCTAAGAAGAATGCTTTGGGTTGATCCGTCCTTTCAACTCTGACAAAGATAGTCTTAGAAGTTTTGTTAGGATGTTCATCGCTGAACAATGTCGCAGGTTTGATGTCGTACAGGTGGACCACAACGATTGGAACAGCCGGGCACAAACATTTGGATGTGCAAACACAGTTCCCTTTGAAAAGTAAAATCAACTGTATTTCTCCGAAGGAGCCATTCTTCAGTTTAACGGCAAAGTCTGTCTGGTCTGACTCTTTACAGTTTGTAGAGTAATAAACAGTGTGTCCACTAGTGAAGCTGTCACAGGCTTCTACTGATATAACGACTGGTTGATTTAAGAGCTCTTCTACTGATCGTTTTATGGATTCTGTGAGATCCAGAGGGCGTGATTTTCCAAGGGTTTTGTCAGAGCCACTGCCATCGTTTACTGCTGTGATCTTGGCTAATAACTCACCAAAATCTGATTGTCGGTTAAATACTAAAGAACTAAGGTGTCTGGGTATGTGCTGCCAAACGAGAAACCTCTGGGCAATTTCTCGAGGGTTACAATTTCTGCCATGAAGCAGAGCTCTTAGATTTCCATTGTTTCTCTCAAAACTAAATGCTGACGTTGCCCAGAGAGGCCCCCAGTTCAGTACACTTTCAGTTAAGTGGATTAACTGATGGCAGTTGAAAGACACATTTTCTTCACCATAAAGTACTTTCATGTCTTTCACAAAGCGTACCAAGGACTCATGGGCCATTTGAAGCTCATGTTGGGATATTGACTCTTGTAGCAGAATGTGAACACTAAATGACAGGTAAAAATAATGTTCCAGAAAGTCAGGCTGTAGGATACCAGGCAGGACACTAATCGCATAAAATAAAAGGAATGCTCGCCACTCCGACGCTTTCCAAGTGTCCCGACACTTCAGTGACTGTAGAGACGAGGGTTTCTTTTCTAATGTCGACCTTAGACGGAGAAGACGCGAGTCCATTTGTGAAATGTCTTGACCTGCATACCAAGGTTTCATTGAGTTGACTGGGTCTAACCACAGCAACATAAGTTGTTTGGACACACCGAGCAGAACAGAGTGCAGGTACTCGGGTACAAATCCAAAAACAATGTCAAACAAGGGAAGTATGGGAAGCAAGGACAATCCTTTCACTCCATTGGTTTCCTTGCCAGACTTTTCAGCCTGTGTTGCATTTTGCTTGAACATTTCGTTTGACCTTGCTTTTTGTTTCTCTTCATCATATGGGTATGACCTCATGGATCCACTGCCTTTTTTGACCACCATGCCAGGGTGTAAACACCATTCACAACCATATTCACCATTGAATTGTTTGCAATTCCGGAGGAGTGGCCTTGCCACGGCGTCAGAGGAGCAAACCAAGGAGAAGACTTTTGAGGAGTGAACCGCTCCATTGCTGTCGCTCCACTGAAGGGGATTTTGGGCTAAATCACGACATTCATCTATGAAAGGCTTTAGAAATGTTTTCATCTTCGGTTTTACTGTGCCAAACCAAAGTCCTGCAACTATCACATTTTCATTTCTTTGTGTGTAAGGAAGTTCATTAATAGTAAACTGAAGCGGCCAAATCGAGCATATGTCCGAGTCATAAATTGGTACACCATCACAATTCCACAACAGTGTGAGGTCATCTGCAGCCAATTTGCCTTGTTTAAGTAGATTCTGGTACATTTTGCCATCCATCACATCTTTAATGTCCTTCCCTTGATTGACTGTTTTAGGTATCAAATCAATGCCATGGATCTTAAGGATGCCCTTCAGAAGGTCTTTCAGTGATGCAGACAAAAAGAAGTTTCCATTTTTAGTACTTTCTTCTTTGTTGAACATTGTGCCACAGTGACAACAAGAACCACCAGGATCTTTTCCCATGTAGTTCTGACATGTTTCAAGAGCACAGTAAAACACAGCTGACAAGGCAGTAATCTTATCAGAGAGATATTTAGATGAAACAACCAGGTTCGGACTGAGAAAATTAAGTAGAGCCATCAAGTCACCCACAGCCACATTTAGACTGTGACGCAAAAAGAAGAGTATCACAGCAAGTAGGCCTGAACTTGAGTTACTTATGGACAGTGGCTCCTCACTCTGCAAATACATAACACATATTTTAATATGCATAACACAATGATTTGAAGAAAAGTGTGTGTTAACAAAAAACATAAACCCAATTCGGAAGGGATTAACATTACGGTGGGAGCGTAGGGAGAGTAGGACAAACAAAACAAAAAACTCAGTGGTCCACTTTAAAATAAAAGGACATCACCCCGGATGGGCTCTAAATTACAAGAGGACCCAGCGAAGCAACAGAAAAAGTAGGTAACTCATACTTGAATTATTATTGGGGTTGGGGGGGTTCCCATATATTTGCTCCAGACGGGATTAAAATCTCTGACCACATGTCAGAAACCAACCTGCCACCCCTTGAGAAATGAATCCAGTCCGAATGGGGCTTCACAGCATAACTTCTTACCATCTCATTGTCATGATCTGTGCCAGATGTTGAAGTAGACTCAAAGTGCCATGGAAAAATTGTCGGGTCCTGCATATGAGAACATCTAATTAGAACCTGCAGTATATTAAGGTGAGTTATCAAAACCATCTCAAAATGATGATGTGCAAAGATAATGCCATAACATGTGACTGGATAAGCCATAGTCCTTCACATTGACTTTGCACATGCTGAATGTTTCTGCATGTGCTGAAGGCTTTGTTTGAACAAGTCCTTCGGGTAACTCAGAGGAAAACTTTGACATTTTGCTTATTCCCTTAATTGTTGAAAATTAGAAGAGAAGATTAATATCATTCTCACATTAGAAAGTTGCATCAATCTCTTCATCCAACTCTATGTAAGAAAGTGAAAGAGTGATATTTTCCAAAATGTGGGACTACTCCTTTAAAAGAGCAGATGTATTTGTCAGTCTGTTCAGTCTGCATGTGTATTCAAATAACTAACCAGTTCAGGGCTGTCCTCTTGGTCTGAATTTGTGTCAGTATCCATCGTTTCAGGAGTATCAGCGTGCTTTCTTTTCAGTGCCTGCAGTGGGGACACATGTTTAAATGTAATATTTACTTCACAAGCACATACTGAAACAAGTGTGAACTACTGCCTTAATGCCTTGTTCGCCTGTGACTCAAATTGTTCTTTACCAGTACTTTGTTTGGTCAATCATTTTATATTGACTAACTTGTTTTTATCTTTTTCAGTGGCTCGCTGTTTCAGTGTCTCAGTAATTTGTTGCGCAATGTTTTGTAGAATAGTTACATTTAGCTGATTTTATCTTTTTTTCCTGTCTTTTTATTTACATTAAAGTGGTACTGGAGTAACATTAGTGTGGTAGGTGGCTGACAAAAGTATCAGTATCAGAGACAGCTGCCACTGTCATTCCATTTAAAAAAATAAGAAAGAGCGTTGGATTTCCCGCAGTTAGGGATGTAAGATCATTCTTTCATTTCATACAAACTCAAGACAGAAGTTATTGCTCCTGTGACTTGTGAAAGGTAGAATGAATACACACATATGAGTGCTGATTACTAGTAGCGTTTTGGTGTAAAGTGTCTGTAACATACAGTAGTTTCACATTACCTGTAAGTATTCTCTGAGTTTCTTTTTGAATTTCACTCTTGGTCCAATTTTAGGAATCAAGTCATTGAAGATGGCTGACTTCTCAAGACACAAGAAAGTCTGCTTGTCAATGCCTTGGTCTGAAATAAAAAGAAATGTCAAAAATAAACTTGCTGTGGTTTTCTATAAATAATCACATGCAGAAACTATCAATGATATGGTATTATTGTGATCCAGTTGCTTATCATTAAACAAACGAGTTTAAGTAATCTCAATATATAGTATGTGCCCACCAAAGCAGAACTGTAACACAGTACTTTACCTTCAAATCTCTGAATAAACTCACTGAGATCCCAGTCAGTTAATTTCTCCCGAACAAAGTTACATGTCTCCGTGGAACTCGACTGAAAATGTGGGAAACAAAGAATTATGTATGTATAATATATGACATCTATGTAAAATACACAACTGAACAATTCACTTTTTTATTGCACATGAAAAAGGTTTGCTGAACCCATTACTACAGGTTATCATAACTATATTTGCTGGTTATATAAAACAATTGTCTATTGTCATACTGCAGGTTGTTTTTATTGGTTAACTCTGGTGAGGTGAAACTCATAAAATGTTTAATTTAAACTTTTTATTTACATTAAAGTGGTTTGAGGCTGAAATTTCGGTTTCTGTATGGCCAGCAATGTAATGATATAATTTGCTGTGGTTGCGTAAGTTGCTCATTGTTTTTAACACTGTGCAAAAGTAGAAATATTTCAGTGGTTGAGTAGTCTGGAAAGAGAATAAATGCCTGTGTTGATTATTTCATCATAAGGACCCACGGAGACACAGCTGTCACAGACACTTTAAATATCCTGGAAAGTTCCCTATACAGCTTTATCCTTGATTTTAACACTTGAAGTCCCTAAGTGACACATACGTAACATCCTGGTGAAGTCATGTGACAGTGAGTTAATTTGTGTACTAATGACATCACTTCCAAAATGGCTGCCTGGCTGGTCAGCACATTTGGCAGAACTAGCAAATTTCAAAAAGCTTGTTTTTGTTGCTAAATGTAAGTTTCAACACATTTAACAATTCTAATCTTTTCATAACATGTCCTACATTACATCTAAACGGTTCTGACCATGTTTATCAAACACATTTATGTCTAATGTCTAATCAATTATGCTTAAACTCATAATTGTCTCAGAAAAACCAATGTGACATATTTGACACAATAAGAAAAATAGTAATGAGCTGCTCAATTGATTTAGCTGATTCGATTATTATTAATTAAAATATGTTCTGTTGACGTTCAAACAAAAGAAATATCAAAATGATTAAATTATTAGTCAAATGAATTATGAAAGAAAAATGTACATATGAGTAAGTAAAACACAAACAAACTTGATTTAACTATCCTATTTTGGTCCTATTTCAAAGTAATTTCATTATTTCTTTTATAGTATGGATTAGAATTAACAATACAGTGTTCAGGATGCACTAAAGATCATCCAAGGAGAAGACATTTTTGTCTTGTAAAACAAATCTGAAAACCATTCAAAAAATCTAACCAGAATATTTGTTACCAATCAAAAAATAGCTTAAATGATTGGTGTTAAAATGAGGAAAACATACATAACATTGTGACATATGTAACATTTCCGATCTTTGGCACTAGAACATATTTTCAGAAATGTGATCCATTTAGTCTGTTTTATTTCCCCTATAATTTTTCTTTAAGGAAAAATGGGTGTAGGTTCTTTTGGGTTAAGTCCAAGCTTGTGTAACCTTTGAAAATAAGCATGATTTGTTAACAACAGTAGTGCACATTACCTGTAAGTAATCTCTGAGTCTCTTTCTGAATTTTGCTCTTTGTCCAATTTTAGGAATCAAGACATTGACGCTGCCCAGATCTCCAAGACTTAAAAAAGTCTCCTTGTCAATACCTTCATCTAAAATGGTAAAAGAAAATACAAAACAATATTCATTTAGATGACAACACAGTGATTGCATTTTTTCAATAAGAGAAAACAACTGACTTTCCTGAGTCTTTCATTGTTTTTCCTTTTTATAAATTCTGACTTTCCTTTGACTGAAGATAAGAGTATAGCAGTAACCGACACGTAAAACAAGGATATGTCATCATTTTGCTATTTCAGTGTCATTAATTGCAGACTTGTAATAGAATGGTGATACAGTACCTTCAAATCTCTGTATGAAGTCACTGAAGCCCCATTCAGTTAATTTGTCATGGACAAAATCCTGTGTATCCATGATAATTCACTGTAATTAAATTGATTCGTTAATATTACAAGCATTATTGAACAAGCACAATCACTAACTTGAATATTCTAATTCAATTCTGAGGTGTATTACCTTAACTTTTAGTGAAATATCTCAACAACTATTGGATAGATTGCTATAAAATCTAGTGCAGACACATGATTAGGCCAACTCATTTCCCTTTATCTGTACCTAACCTAACTTGATTCAGTATATCTATCAAACCCTTATGTGACTTCCTGTTCAAAACATAACCAAGTATGTCAGGGTGAATTTTTGTAAAATTTGTATGAAATGACATACAAGTCAATAATAGAATATTTCCATTTGATAGAATGATGCAGCTATAACAGATTCTGTTCTGAGTCTGGCTTGATATCAAGAACACTGAACATTTCACTGTGTACATAAATATCATACTGTAGCTTCAATGAAGAGCTGGAACAAGATGATAAACAATACAAATGTGAAACTGAAAGATGATTTCTGTGCAGTAGAATTTAACTTAATCAATGACAACAATATTGTATCTGCTAATTAAGATGTACTTACATTTAGTTTTTTTTTCACTTTTGAACTCGATTTATTCCACTCCTCTGGTGCTCTGGGTACTTTGGACTCTTTTATACTAGCTGTCTCCTCCCTGCACTGACAGAGATCACGTGAATTGGTTGTTGCTGCAACAGAAAGACAAGAACAAATGACAAAGGCATAAACAGGTTAGACATGGTTCGTATGAGGAAGTAAAAGTCAGTGCTTATTTTAATATTTGCAAGCATTGCATGTATGTTGCAATCACAACAACTTGGAGGAGCGATCAGGAAGCTTTAGGGTCGTTGTTTTCTTTTTCCAGAGGAGTCGTTTGTGTGTTGAAATTATTTTTCACGTTTAACATGCGAACTACTTGAAAAGTACTATCTCAAAGGCATAAACAGTTTAGACATGGTTCATAAATGGTAAATGGACTTGTATTTGTACAGGTGCCACTTGATCCATTATCATTCACACCCATTCATCACATTCATCTATTTAGGGTTATTTAGGACATGGACTGGAGGATCCGATCCAACCGCTGATCTTTTGATTGAAAGACAACCAGCTTTAACTCTGAGCCACAGCACCCAGGTTAGAAATATTACAGTTAATAAATAGTTAAAAGTTAAAGTCAGCACTTATTACAAAATTTGCAAACACATAATCCACTTCTGTGATTACAGTTGTTTTCAATGCTAACACACTAACATGACACATAAAGCA